CTGAGAATATAGCCCCAGTGCTATTGCTTGAAGATGTGAAAACTATGGAATTAACTCCTCAAATGGTAGACCGTAAGAGGTTAACATCTGAGATCTGGCCGCAAGAGGAGGACTCTGTGAAGCTGATCCCAAAGCAGGTCACAGAAACTGCTGGGATGATGCCTGGGCCACATTTTCAAAATTTTTCAGGGATGTTCTCAGGGCCAGACTATCAAGACACAGAAACTGTGAGGTTGACTTCTGAGGCTTTGCTTCAAGGGGCATTAACACAAAAACCAACAGGTCAAGTTGTAGAATCTGTAGGAATGACTCCAAGGCCACATCTTCAAGTTACTGAATCTTCAGAGATAACCCTAAAACCAGAATATGAAGACACAGCAACTGTGGGCTTGACATTGCTGCAAGTTGAAAAAATCCAGAGGACAACGCCAGTACCACCATATTCAGAGAAAGGATCTCTGGAATTGACCCCAGTGCCAAGCATGCAGGATGAGAAATCAGAATCACTGCTGCAAGATTTGAGATCTGTGGAGTTAACTCCTGATCCACCTCCATTAATGGTAGAATCTAAAAGGTTAATTATAGGACCAAAGCAACATGTTACAGAGTTGACCCCAGGGCCACAGATCCATGGAGTGAAGTCTAGGCAGTTGGATCCAGAGCTACAGTTGCAAGATGTGAAATCTGTGAATTTAACCAAACAGTTAACTACAAGGGTAGAATCTGAGTTGACACCAGGTATGATATCAAAGGAATTGACTAAGGGGGCACAGCTTCAAGGTGTGAAATCTGGGGATTTAATTCTAGGCCCATTGCAGAAAAGTGTCAAATCCTCTGGATTGACCCTAGGGCCACAATTGCAAAGTGTCAGATTTTCAAAATTAACTCCAGGGCCACTTCTTCAAGAAGAGAAATATGTAGATTTAATCTCAGGGCCGCCACATCATAGTGTGAAATCTGATGAATTTATCCCAGGTTCTCCAGTGCAAGAAACCAAATTATCAGATTTCATCCCAGGGCCAAAGCATCAAAGTATCAAATCTATACAGTTGACTCCAGAACCACAACTTCACAGTATGAAATTTGTGGACTTAATCCCAGGGCCATGCTTACAAGATGTCAAATTTTCTGATTGGACATCAGAGCCAAAGCATCAAGATTTCAAATATGTGCAGTTGATACCAGGAACACAGCTTCAAGATATAAAATCTCTAGGGTTTGTACCAGAGTCATTTTTGCAGTTAAGCCAAGGGCCACAGCTCGAAGATATGAAATCTCTTCTGTCTACCCCAGAATCACAGTTTCACAGTGCAAAATTTGTGAAATTGACCTCAGAACAACAATTTCAAGGTGTGGAATCTGAGGAACCGAACCTAGGGCCATGGCAGCAAGATGTCAAATTTTCTGAACTGACTCCAGGGCCAAAGCTTCAAGGTGTCAAATTTGGGGAGCAGATCCCAGGACCAATGTTTCACAGTGACAATTCTGTGGAGGTGACCCCAGAGTTGGGGCTGCAAGATTCCAAATTAACAAAGATTTCACGAGGGCTTCAAGGTATAAAACAGATGGGGCTTAACCCAGGGCCGTGGCTCCAAGATGTCAAATTTTTTGATTTGACCCCTGGAACTCAACCTCCAGGTATGAAGTCTTCAGAGTTAAACTCAGGGCCACAGCTGCAATGTGTAAAACTTTTGGAGTTGACCCCAGAGCCAAAGATGCAAGGGGCTAGATCTATGGAGTTGATCCCAAGACCAGACAGACAAGGGGATAAGCCTGAGATGTTAGTACCAGAGCCACTGTTTCAAGGTGTGAAATATGTAGAGGTGAACCAACTACCAATTTTTTATAAATTAGTCTCAGAGCCACAGATACAACATTCTGAGTTGACCGGAAGACCACATTTCCAAGGTGTGAAATCTTCTGAATTGATCCAAGGACCACAGTTGAAGGATGTAAAACCTGTGGAGTGGACCCCAGTCTCAAAGCTTCAAGGTTTAAACTCTGAGGAGCTGACCCTAGAGCCACAGGTGGGAGCTGTGAAATTTGGACAGATAACCTCAGGACCACAGGTAGAAGATGTCAAATCTGTGAAATTCACTCCAGGTTCCAAGCTTCAAGCTGTGAAATCTGTAGAGTTGACTCCAGGTTCAAGAATTCAAGATTTAAAAACTGTGGAGTTAGTCCCAGGTCCACAGCTGCAAGATGTGAAATCTGTGGAACTGAACTTTGGGTCAGATATGCAAGGTGAGAATCCTATGGCTTTTGCACCAGGGCCATTGCTTCAAGGAGTTAAATCTATGGAGGTGCTTCAAGGGCCCCAACTACAAGGCGTGAAACCTAAGGAATTGACTTTAGAGCCACAAATGCAAGATATGAAATTTGTGGGGATTACGCCATGTTTAAAGCTTCATAGTTTAAAATCTGTAGAAGTGAATCCAGATCCACAATGTGTAAAGTCTGTGAAGTTGACCCGAAGGCTAAAGAGGGAGGTGGTAAAATCTGTGAATGAAACCAGAAGACAAGAGTTTCAAGGAGTAAAATCTGTGGATTTATCCCCAAGGCAACAGTTTCAAGGAATGGCAGTGGATTTAACTCCTGGACCAGAACAGGATGGTGAGATATCTGTAATATTCTCACCAGACCAACAATGTGTGGATTTAGAACAATTGAAGAGAGAGTCTGAGTCAGAAGATGTGATGTCTTTAGAGTTAATTCCAGAACCAAAACTTGAAGGTATAAAATTTGCAGACCTCAATGCTGAGCTACAGTTGAAAGGTATGAAATCATCTGAATTGACTCCAGAGCCAAATATTCAAGGTATAAAACCTAAAGCATTTAGGTTTGAGTCACAGTGGCAAAGCATAAAACCTTCGAAGTTGACCCCAGGACCACAATTGCACCAAGTGAAACCCTTGGAGACAACTTTAGGGCCACAGCTTCAAGGTGAGAAAACTGTGGAGTTAAACCAAGAGCCAGAGCTTAGTAATATGAAATCTGTGCAGTGGATTCCAGTACCAGAGTTTCAAGGTGCAAAATCTGTACAGTTAGCTCTAGGATTACAGTCTCTAGGTGTTAAAACTGCAGAGTTGAAACCCATGCTACGGTTGAGAGGCGTGAAGGCATCAGAATCGACTCTAGGGCCAAAATTTCAAGGTGCAAAATCTATGTTCAACCTTGGGCCACAGTGGCAGAGTGTGAAAACCTCTGAGTTGTCCCCAGGACCACAGCTTCAAACAGGAAAAAAACTGGAGTCAATCTCACAGCCACAGTTTAAAGGTGTGAAAACTGTGGAGTTAAATCAACAGCCAGAGCTTAGAAGCATGAAATGTGTTCAGTGGATACCAGGATCAGAGTTCCAAGGTAGGAAATCTATAGTGTTGAATATGGGGTCACAATCTCGAGGTATCAAACCTGCAGAGCTGAAACCTGTGCTACAGTTGAGAGGTGTGAAGTCATCTGAATTGACTCTAGGATCAAAACTTCAAGGTACAAAACCTATGGAATTCAACCTTGGGCCACAGTGGCAGAGTGTGAAAACCCCTGAGTTGTCCCCAGGACCACAGCTGCAAAAAGCAAAAAATTTGGAGTCAACCTCAAAGCTACAGCTTAAAGATATGAAAACTATGGCGTTAAACCAAGAGCCAGAGCTTGGAAGCATGAAATGTGTTCAGTGGATACCAGGACCAGAGTTCCAAGGTAGGAAATCTGTAGTGTTGAATATTGGGTCACAATCTCGAGGTGTCAAACCTGTAGATTTGAAACCTGTGCTACAGTTGAGAAGTATGAAGTCATCTGAATTGGCTGTAGGATCAAAACTTAAAGGTGAAAAATCCATGGAGTTCAACCTTGGGCCACAGTGGCAGAGTGTGAAAACCTCTGAGTTGTCCCCAGGACCACAGCTGCAAAAAACAAAAAATTTGGAGTCAACCTCAAAGCCACAGTTTAAAGATATGAAAACTATGGAGTTAAACAAAGAGCCAGAGCTTGGAAGCAGGAAATGTGTTCAGTGGATGCCAGGACCAGAGTTCCAAGGTAGGAAATCTGTAGTGTTGAATATTGGGTCACAATCTCAAGGTGTCAAACCTGTAGACTTGAAACCTGTGCTACAGTTGAGAGGTGTGAAGTCATCTGAATTGACTCTAAGATCAAAACTTCAAGGTGAAAAATCCATAGAGTTCAACCTTGGGCCACACTGGCGGAGCGTGAAAACCCCTGAGTTGTCCCCAGGACCACAGCTGCAAAAAGGGAAAAATTTGGAGTCAACCTCAGAGCTGCAGCTTCAAGGTGTGAAAACTGTAGTGTTAAACCAAGAACCAGAGATTAGAAGCATGAAAGCTATTCAATGGCTACCAGGACCAGAGTTTCAAGGTGGGAAATCGGTAGTGCGAAATCTTGGGTCACAATCTCAAGGTGCCAAACCTGTAGATTTGAAACCTGTGCTACAGTTGAGAAGTATGAAATCATGTGATGTGACTTCAAGGTCAAAGCTTTGTGGTATAAAATCTATGGCGTTCAAACCTGGGCTTCACACACAAGATTTAAAATCTCCTGAGTTGTCCCCAGGACCACAACTGCAAGAAATGGAAACCTTAGTGTCATCTCCAGGGACACAGCTTCAAGATATGAAGTCTCTAGTGCTCACACAAGAGCCACAGCTTCCAGGAGTGAAATCTGAGGTTTTAAGCCAGGGTCCACAATTGCAAAGTGATAAAACTGTAGAGGTGAACCCCCTACTACACTTGAAATGCATGAAATCATCTGCGTTAACTCTTCAGACAGAGCTTCAAGGTGTGAAATCTGAGGCGTTCAACTCTGGGCTACAATGCCAAGGTGTAAAATCTTCTAAGTTAACCCCTGAGACAAAGTCCCAGGGTACAAAATCTATTGAGTTAAACCCCAGCTCACAGTTGCAAGATGTAAAATTTTCTGAGTTGACCCTGGGAACAAAGATTCAGGGTGTCAAATCTATGGACTTTAACCCTGGGCTACTATTGCAAGGCATGAAATCTTCTCAAGGTACCTTAAAGTCAAAGCTTCAAGATGTAAAACATACAGAATTTAGCCCTGGTTTCCAGATGCAAGTTGTGAAATCTTCTGAGCTGATCCTAGGATCAAAACCTCAAAGTGTGCAATCAGTGGAGTTCAATCCTGAGCCACAGTTGCAAGGTGGGAAATCTTCTGAGTTAATCTCAGAGACAAAGTTTCAAGATGTGAAATCTGTGGAATTCAAATCTGGGCCACAGTTGCCAAGTGTGAAATCTTCTGAGTCTGTCCTGGGGACAAAACTTCAAGGAGTGAAACCAGTTGAATTCAACTCAGGCCCACAGCTGCAAGATGTAAAATCTTCTAGATTGATCATGGGCAAAAAGCTTCAAGATGTAAAAGCTATGGATTTCAGTTCTGGACCACAATGGCAGAGTGTGAAATCTTCAGAAATGATCACAGGGATAAAGCTTCAAGGTGTGAAATCTGTAGAATTCAAACCTGGTCTAAAGTTTCTAGGTGATAAACATTCTGATTTGACCCTGGGGTGTAAGTTTCCAGGTGTGAAATCAGTGGAGTTCAACCCTGGACCACAGATACAAGGTGAAAAATCTTCTGAGTTGAATCCTGGGCCAGAGCTTCAAGGTACAAAATCTAATGTGTTCTGCCTTAAGCCACATTTGCAATGTGTGAATTCTTCTGAGTTTATTTCAAGGCCAAAACTTCAATATGTAAGTTCTGTTGGGTGCAACCCTGGGCCACATTTGCAAGGTTTGAAATCTGAATTGACTCCGGTTTCAAAACTTCAAGGTATGAACGCTTCTTTGTTGAATTCAGGGACAGAGATTCAAAGTGAAATATCTACGGTGTTCAACCCTGGACCACATTTGCAAGGTTTGATGTCTGAATCAACAGTAGGGCCACAATTTCTAGGTGTAGCACCTATGAAATGCAACCCTGGGCTACAAGTGCAGTGTGTCAATTCTTCTGAGTTGAATCCAGAACCAAAATTACAATGTATAAATTCTATGGGGTGCAAACCTGGGTCACACTTGCAAAATTTAAAATCGTTTGAGGGGACAACATTCCAAGGTACGTTATCTTCTGAGTTGAATCCAGGTTCAGAATTTGAAGATAGAAAATCTGTTGTGTTCAACCCTGCACAACATTTGCAAGATATAAAGCCTGAATTGACTCCAGGGACAAAGTTTCAATGTATAACATCTATGGAGTGCAACTCTGGCCCACAGTTACAAGGTGTGAATTCTTCTGAGTTGAATTTAGGGCCAAAACTTCAATGTATAAATTCTATAAAGTTCAATCCAGGGCCACAGATGCAAGGCATGAAACCCTCTGAATTGAATCACGGGTCAGAATCTCAAGGTACAAAATCTGTTTTGTTCAACCCTGGGCCACATTTGCAAGGTGTGAAATCTTCTGATTTGACTCCAGGGACAAAGTTTCCAGAAGTCCATTCTTTGGAGAACCATCTTGACTCACAGCAGCAAGTTGTGAAATCTATGTTCACTTTGAGTCCTCAGTTACATGATGTGAAATCTGTGGTATCTTCACCAGAGCCACTGCTTGAAGATATACAATCTGTGGAGATGAACAAAGAGCCATTGCTTTGTGGTACAAATTCTATAAATCTGATTTCAGGCTCTGAGCTTCAGGACTTGAAATCTGAGGTCTCTGTACTAGAGCCATGTTTTCAAAAAGTAAAATCTGTGGAGTTAAACCCCGGGCCACATCCTCCAGGTATGAATTCTGAGGATTTGCCCTCACACCTCAAGCAGCACAGTATGAAATCTGTGGTGCTTGTGCCAGAGTCATATTTTCAAGATCTGAAATCTCTGGGGTTGAAATCAGGGCCACAAACTCAAGATGTGAATTCTAAAACGTTGATTTCTTGCCTCAGGCAGAAATCTGTGGTGTTTGTGTCAGAGCCATGTTCTCAAGATGTGAAATCTGTGAAGTCAAACTTATGGCCACAACCTCAACTTGAGAATTCTTTAGGGTTGACATCATGCCTCAGGTCACAATGTGTTAAATCAGTGGTCTTTGCACCAGAGCCATGTTTTCAAGATGTAAAATCTGTGGAGCTGACACTAGGGTGTCAACAGCAAGATATGAATTGCCAGGAGTTGACTTCAGGTTGGCAAGGTGTGAAATCAGTAGTGTTGGCACCGGAGCCAACTAAGGAGTTAATACTAGGACCAGTGTTGTCTAGTGTCAAAACGTCATATTTGTCTCCAGAATCACAGCAACAAGGTGTGAAATCTTTGGAGTTTATTTCAGAGTCAGAATTGCAAAGTGCAAAACATATGGAATTATCTTCAATGTCTCTGCAGCAAACTATAAAATCTATGGAGTTAGCACCAGCATCACTGCTTCAACAAGTGAAATCTGGGGAGCTAACTCCAAAACCAGATTATGAAATCACAGAATCCTCTGAAGTTATCCCTAGGACAGAGCATCAGTTTGCAGAATATACAGAGATGATTCCAAAGCCAAGGCATCAAGACCCTAAATCTGTGAATTTGACTTCAATACCAATTCATCCAATCACAGAATCTTCAGAAATGACACATCAAGGCCCAGAAACTGCAGAGAAACCTGTGGGGTTTATCCCACAGCCAATGGGTAAAACCATGGAATCTTCAGAGATGCCTCTGGAGCTAGATCTTCAAGTACCAGAATCTGTGGATCTAACTCCAGTGCTAGAGGATCAAGGATCAAAATCATTAGAATTGACCCCAGAGAAAAGTTACCGAGTCCCAGAAACTCTAGAGTTACCCTCTCAGTCATGGCCTCAAGTTAAGGATTTGGGGATGTCATATACCAAGCCACCGCAGAAAGTTGTGGAATCTGAAGGAATGACCCCAGAGCTAAAGGATCACATTACAGAAACTATGGGATTGACTTTTGAGGCAGGGCTGCAAGGGGAAGAATCCCTTAGAATGACCCCAAAGCTAATAAGTCAAGACATTGGATATACAGAGAAATCCCCAAGGGCCTATCCTCAAGCCCTAGAACCTGTGGAGGTGATCTCTGAGGAAAAGTTGCAAAGGGAAGAATCTATACTGTTGATTCCAAAGCCACTACATCATGTACCAGAATCTTCAAGGATGACACCAGGGCCACGACATCAAGTTCCTGAATCTGTGGAGTTGCCTTCTGAGACATGGGTCCAAGTGGAGGAACCCATGGAATTCACTGCAATGTCATGGGATCATATGGGATCTTCTGGGATAGTATCAGAGGTAGGACATCAAGCTCCAGAATCTGTGGGTTGGACCTGTAAGCAACAACTGCAAATGGAGGGATCTTTAGAGCTGCTCCCAAAGCAAACAGATCAAGTTGCAGAATCTGAAGAGCTCACCTCTAAGACATGGCAGCAAGAGAATGGACCAATGGGATTAACACAGTCACAGTATCAAAGTATGAAATATTCAGGGGCAGCCCCAGAACCACCAGATCAAATTACAGAATTTATGAGGATTAGTCCAAAGCCAGTTGATCAAGTTACAGAATCAGCAAGGACACAGCTTCAGCTTCAAGTTTCTAAATCAGTAGGGATAACCTCAACGGCTCCCCAAAAAGTTGCTGAATCTGTGGAAGTGATCCCTGGGCCACCACTTCAAGTTGTGAAGTCTGTGGCGTTAACCCCAAGGCCAACCCTTCAAATGGTAGAATCTGTTGAGTTAACTCCAAAACTGCAAGATACGAGACCTTCAGAGTTTACCTCAGGGCAATGGCTGCAAAATGTGAAATCTAAGAAATTAATCACAGAGCCAACACACCAGATTTTGGAAATAATAGAGTTGACAGGGTTTCAAATTGTAAAGACTGTGTTAATTCCAGGACCACCACTTCAGATTGTAAAATCTGAAGAATTAACACCAGGACCAACTCCTCAGTTTGTAGTACCAACAGAAGGAGCCCTAGGATCTGGGCTTGAAGTAATGGAATATTCAGATTTACTCCCAAGGCCATATCTTCAAGAACTCGTAGAACCTGTGGAATTAACTCCAAGTCCAAATATTCAAGTGAAATCTGGAGAATTATCTCCACAGCCAACATCTCCATTTGAGAAACCTATAGCGGTGACTCATGAACAAGAGCTTCACGCTGTGAAATCAATAGGGATAAAAACACGGCCTCCTCAAGTCATGGAATCTGAGGATTTGAATCTAGGACAGGTGTATCAGAATAGGGAATTCGAGGAGTTAACACCAGGAGAAGAATTACAAGTAGGAAATCATTTATCTAAGTTCATACACAGTTCCACATCCTCACTCATCTCAAGCCCTGTCAAAAATACATCTGAATTAGGAGGTCACTGGTACTCTGAAATGCCAGAAGTATCAAGAGACTTGGATATAAAAATCCTTGAGACAGATATTTTGCAGCCTGGAGAGTCCTATGCAGACCCTACTATGATACAGTCTTCAGCCCTTCCCTTGGACTTTCTGAATCAATCCTCTGATCAGGCAGCTATCGCTGTGGAAACTCCACATCCTAAGATCCCAGGAGTGGATGTTGTATCTAAGGAGAAGACCCAGAGGAAGCAGATGGAGGAGCTAGACAACTCACTCCAATGGGAACATGGTCTTAAGAGCCTAGCCCAACATCCATCAGAAAGCTGGAGATTACGATCTAGGATTTCCCAGTCAGGATCACGTGCTCGAAGAGGGCTGACTTCGTCCATCCTTGGCAGACAACAGAATGTCCGTGAGAGTCACGCCTGGAAACAGCGACTACCTAGAAAATATCTCTCCAATATGGTAATGCTGGGGAACGTCTTGGGGGCCACTATGGAAAAGAAATTTTGGTCTCAAACATCTCTAGCAGAAGAAAGAGCCACAACAGATACCTGTCAATTTATTCAGAAATTATTTGGGGTTCCAGCAGAACTGATGAAATTCCCCCAGAGCCTGCTTGAGAAGAGTCAGGGTACTATTTCTCAGCCTTCAGCGATCAAAAACTACATTCAGAGACATACTTCATGCCATGGTCATGAGAAAAGAATGACCTTAAGGATGTGGACACGTGGCTCCACATCTTCCATAATACAGCAATACTCTGGGACTATAGTGGGAATAAAGAAAACAAACTCAAGGCTCAGTGATATGTCCCAGGAAGTGAGTCAACACATGCTTGCCTCACATACAGGGGACCACATTACTGTGCCTGTAAAGTCGGAGTCTTCCCTCAGGATATTTTTCACTAGTAAAGATTCTGTTCCAGTGGTAGAGAGTGGGAACTCACAGAGTGATTCACAGAAAAGGACTTTTGAGCCCCAACACTCCCTCAAGCCAAGTTATCTTCCCCAGGCTAAGACTGACTTCACAGAACAGTTCCAGCTACTACAAGATCTGCAGCTAAAAATAGCAGCGAAACTCTTAAGGAGCCAACTACCCCCCAATGTGCCTCCACCTCTAGCTACAGGTCTGGTACTAAAATACCCTATCTGCTTACAGTGTGGCCGATGTTCAGGATTTAACTGTTGTCATAAATTACAGGCCAATTTTGGGCCTTACCTTCTTATCTATCCGCAGCTCCACCTTGTAAGTACTCCTGAGGGACATGGTGAGATTCGATTGCATCTTGGCTTTAGGTTGCGAACTGGGAAAAGACCCCAAGTTCCAAAGTATCATGGAAGAGACAGACCCATCATGCCAAGGAGCCCTATATCACCATCACAAAGGAAAGCTAAAATCTATACTCAAGCTTCCAAGAGTTCTACTCCCACCACAGATTTCTGGTCTGGGCCTTCCCAGTCTCCTACTCCTATACAAGTCCACATCAGGCAAGGGCACCATGGCAACCCTGACCCACTAGGAAGGACAGAAATTGAAGAGTCTGGGCACTATGAATTCACGCAAGTTCACTCCCTGCCAGAGAGTAGTTCTGAAAGCAATCAGGATGAAAAATGGGCTAAGGTGAGACCCAGAAAGTCCCCTGGTGCAAAATATCCAATGAAGAAAATCACCAAGGAAGTTAGAACACAAAGCAATAGAAACACAATACATAATCCCTCTAGGGAATTACTAGCTCGGTTAAGAAGCAAGAGCAGTGGAGCAGCTCAGACAACTCCTGCCTCTTTAAAAAGAAAATCTAAGAAATCCTCCCAACCCACGTTCATGCAACTGCTTTTTCAGGGCCTAAGGCAGGCATTCCAAACCGCACACAGAATTATGGTTTCTACTGGGCAGAAGCCTGAGGGCAGAGAAAGGCCAGACAACTTGTGGTTGAACAAAAATTCCCCTCTAAAACAAAAAGCCAGGGACTACTGCTTACCAGGAGATAACAAAAGAGACAGGAGGCCAGTTGTCAAGATAAGGCCCACAGGCCCAACCACTAAGCAGGGAAGAAAAGACCAATTCAGATCAACTCAACAGCCAAAAAGAGGTAGCTTTCTCCAGCCCAGACCTACCCAATTGCCCAAGTCCATAGTTTCCCAAAAAGACATCACTTTCCAAACCACCTCAACCAGACAGCCTTTGAGTACAGTTCAGAATGACATTAGTAGCAGAGCTAAGAAAAACTACAGAACTGAAATCTACAGCCAGGAGTCTAAGAACTTGCCCAAACCAGGAACCAGAGTTCAGGCCAGGGGGAGAATCCTACATGGTTCGTCTATGAAGAGAAGCTCACACAGTCACTTTAAAGAGAAACCTACACACAAGGAGCAAAACCACCGCAGCAATCCCTCTGACAGGAGTCATCACAGTCACTCTGAGAGGAGCCATCACAGTCCCTCTGAGAGGAGCTGTCGCAGTCACTCTGAGAGGAGCCATTGCAGTCACTCTGAGAGGAAGAGTCGCAGTCCCTCTGAGAGGAGAAGACGCAGTCCTCCTGAGAGAAGACACAGTTTTCCTGAGAGGAGAAGACACGGTCCCCCTGAGAGGAGAAGACACACTCCCCTTGAGAGGAGAAGACACAGTCCTCCTGAGAGGAGCTGCCACAGTCCCTCTGAAAGAACCCGTTGCAGTCCCTCTGAGAGGAGCCATCACAGTCACTCTGAGAGGAGCCGTCGCAATCCCTCTGAGAGGAGCCGTCTCAGTCCCTCTGAGAGGAGACGACGCATTCTCTTTGAGAGGAGCCGTCGCAGTCCCCCTGAGAGGAGAAGATGCAGTCTTCCCGAAAGGAGAAGACACAGTCCCCCTGAGAGAAGAAGCCACACTCCCCTTGAGAGGAGAAGACACAGTCCTTCTGAGAGGAGCCGACGAAGCCACTCTGAGAGAACCCATCACAGTCCCTCTGAGAGGAGCCGTCACAGTCATTCTGAGAGAACCCATAGCAGCCCCTCTGATAGAACCCGTCACAGTTCTTCTAAGAGAACTCAAGACAGTCCTCCTAAGGAGAGAATCAAGCACAGTTCCCCTGGGCAGAGGCCCAGACACAGTTTGTCTAAAGATTTCATGAATTACTCAAACACAAAAAAACACGGACACAGGGCAAGTTTGGAGGCCTGAAGCTAGTAGATGACGAGAGGTCCACCCCCATTATTCACTGTTTTACTCAAGCTGCCCTTTCCTGGCTTCTTTGTTGCTCATCCTCTGGCTCCAATTCCTGTGCCCTCACCAGTGGCAGGACTTCTATGTCTCCCTACTTGGGGGGCATGGGTTTGTAATTTCTCTAAGATAAATAAAGTGTCAATAATTAAATGGGACATTGATCTTCATGCGCATCTGAAAGACCACTCGTCGTGCTGGGTGAAGAAGGGAGGGTGGAAGGACACTAGATGTCGCACACACGACGGGAACGAGTGAGAGGGGTTCTGGAGCCAGGTTAAGGCTCCACACTCCTCCCCTTTCTCCCAAGCCCCACCCATAGCTTCCAGGATCCCACGACGCAATCCCTCCCCTTGGCAGGGTCTCAGAGGAATCTGAGGGGGACTCGTCACGTGACTTACTGGGGCCGCAGCCCCCTCGGAAGCTGCTAGGCGGAAGCAGACGTTCTGAACGGAGCTCGGTGGTTCCGAGTCCACATCCGGGAGAGGAGAGGAGAGCGGAAGTGTCGTTGGTCTGGCCGGAGCCCCTGGGTGAATTTGTTAGGCGTGGAGAGGGAGTGATGTCTTCCAGACTCGGTGCAGTACCCGCTGTGAGTTTCTTGGTTTGACCGTTATGGTTTAGGAGTAGCGCTATCGAGCCCGGTACACGCGGTCCCTCGCTTTTGTCTCATGTCCAGAGTTGGTTTTATCAGAGCCCATCGTAGGCCCCACCCTCGTAGATCATACCCACCTGTCCCCTTTTTTTCTGTTCCTACTTTCCACCGTCTGTTCCCCCTCCTCCTTGGACTCACATTCTCGCCAGATTGCCGTTAATTTTATTGCACTTACATCCCCAAGTGCCTCCGACATTATTTTCTCTTTTCGCCTCCCTTTTAGAGCCTTTATCTGGGACAGGGCTTTTGAGAATGGGGGGAGATAAGGCTTTGCTATTGTCCCCTCCCTTTGCTGTATAGGCAAACAGGACGGCACACTTTTCCTAAAAAGTATTACCTTCTTCCGTTTGAGATAGTTACTCCGGGAGAGCTTCCTTTTTCCTGAGCACAGGGGGGTTCGACTTTTTGTGGTCAAGGTTCAGAGGTCCCTAGCACTCACTCGTGTGCTTGTGATTTGCTAGACTCCGGGACCCACGTCCTTTAAGCAGCAGAGGAGCACGAGGATCGTGGGACCTAAGAAGTAAGTGAGGTTTTCTGAGGTCCATTTATAATTGTGTCGCCAGCACTGTTCAGAAGAACGTCCTGTGATGATGAAAATGTTCTGTGTCTGCACTGTCTAATAAGGTAGTTACTATCTACGTATGACTTTTGAGCACTTAAAATGTGGCTAGTGCGACTGAGGAAGTGAATTTTAAATTTTATTCACTTTTAATTAATTTAAATTTATATAGCCACCTGTGGGCTGTTGGGGAAAAACTACTAAAAATGAAATCTATTCCCAACCCAGAAAACATCGTCACAAAAATAGAAAAGAAAGAAAAGTTTTGTAATTGAATATGCATTAAACCAGAATGTGATGCTTCACAGGCAGTCGGCTAAAAAGATTGCAAAGACAAAGAAATCTTATTCTTTATGTAGTTGAGTGGATATGACTCACTACATTCGTGTTTAAGATAAAATTGCTAATTTTCTAATATGTTTATGGCAGAAACCCAAAGTTACATTAATCTCCTTCCGGGAAACTGAGAGGTAGGAATGTGAGCTTTCTTGATGACTACATTTTAAAAGAAATGACTCCCAGGTCCTTGAAGATACATCCTTGATTTACATACTTTTCAGAAAGATAAAGACTGCCATTACTGTTATCGAAAGCGAATTCTGAAAGAACCGGGAGGAGGGGAACCTTTTCTCTTATTTTCAACAGGGAAAATTAAAACCTCTTATTTTCAATTTACATTTTTTCTTAGATGGCTACCTTACGGGACAGTGTCAGTCTAAACCAAGTGTTGGGGAGAAAAACCTAGCTTGCAAAAAAAAAAAAAAATTATAATTAAAATAGAACATATGACTCAGAGATACTACTATTATTTCTTCAGACATCAATGCTCATGAAGACCTTGATGAACATGGGAAGGACTGATAAAAAATGGCTATAAGAAATCCTTGTATTTTCAATCTACTTGGCTCCTAGACTGGTTTATTATTTTGTATACTCAATGTGCTAACCTTTTCCATGATTAATACAAAAGAAAGATCCTTGTTAACTAGAAACTCCCTTTAGAAGGGATTCATTCATTCAGATAACATTTAATGAATATCTGCTATGTGCTAGCTGTGTAGTAAGTTAGTAATACAGAGATGTAAAACACACAATAGTCTAAAAGGGAAGATAGACAAATAGATCGACACAGTACAGTGTAATATGTAAATATTTTAAAATGGGAACTTAATATAATCTTTGGGGAAGGGAAGTGATAATTTGGAAGGGAAGGATTTTTACCAGAGTTGGTCACTCCTCAGCAGAGACTTGAGAGTTGAGGAATAATGCAGTTAGCTAGAAGGAGAAGAGATTTTTCTGAAGTGAGAACAGAACGTGCACAGGTAAAAGAGGTTAATAGAGTGGCAAGTAGTTCTATACTACTGGCATGGAGAATAGGTGGATTGTAGGGAAATAGGTTAGAGAGGTTAGCAGGGGCCAGATCATGAAGGGCCTTTTATAGTGTGCCAAGGTGTTTAGATTTTATCCTGGAAGAGTTTTAAACAAGGGAATGACATGGTCAGATACTGATCTTAGAAAGACCACTCTGGCAGCATTGTAAATGGGTGCTGGGAAACTAGTTCAGAGGCAATTTTCAGTAACCTAAGAGAAATGAAGGTGTTGGCCTATGGTGGTAGCAGTATATAGGAAATGATAGACTGTGATGATTAGAGATGAGAGGTGACTAAGAGAGAGGAACATAGGATGTCTGTGGGCTACCAGCTTTGGCAATCAGGTGGATAGATGTTGATATCATTCACTGAATTAGGAATTTCTGGATGAGAAGTGTCCTAGACTAAAATCACCACAGAGTTATAATAAAGCAAGAAAAAGATTTTATTAAGCATACATTCCAAGAGGCAAAAGTAGGAAATGGAGAAGCATGCTGCCACAGCTATGTTGGCCCGAGTCCAAGGAATATTACAGAGTCATCAGTACGTATAGATATTACAAATGGGTAAAATCATTAAAAGCTTCACTTTTTTCACACACACAGACACACACACACACACAAACCAAACCCGTTGCCATTGAGTCAATTTTTGACTTATAGTGATCATACAGGACAGAGTAGAACTGCCCCATAGGGTTTCCAGGGAGCGGCTGGCAGATTTGAACTGTCGACCTTTTGATTAGCAGCCAAGCTCTCAACCACTACACCACCGGAGCTCCACTTTTTCACAGATTGGCTAAACACTGCTAAATCACCATTTTGAATTATCTTTCTTAATAATCATTGGTACAGGTTTCAGTCATGACAGTCAGGAGGATTTTCATTGAGCCAACAAATTTTACTATTTACTAAATGCTAATAGATAAAGATAAGAGTGGAAAATATGTGGGTCTTTTGTGCTGTAAGTATTTGTTTTTGTGAAAGGTTTCCTAAAAAAAGATGTTTTTCAAGATTGTCCTAGCTATTGTTTTTATACCTCAGGGCCCAGTTGATGTGTCCTTGTAAGTCTTTGTCACTCCAGTTGGGTTACATTCTTTATACTCAAGGAGGGAATCATGTCTCCAGTTTTAACTCCTAAGTCACTCCTTCCTTTTGACTGGAGATTGGAGATAACACATTGATGATCAAAACCTGGACGTAGCTCCTAGACAGCCACTGTGGCAAGCTGTTTAAACTCCTGGTGCTGGTTTTCCACCAGATACCATCTTGTTCGTCACTAGAATCTTAGGTAAGAGTGACGTTCTCATCAGTCACATTGCAGAAATGAGCAGAATCAATGTACGTCAACATTTTAGCCTGAACCTTTCTTTTGCGTTTTGAGTGTATAAGATAATAGAAGACAAGTTTTATTAAGCCTAATATTATCAGGATGCAGACTGACAATATTACTATTCCTTGAAATAGTGATCTAGCCCATGTACTTAATTCCTGATGGTAACCAACAAAATAAGTCTGGTGTTCATAGGGGTGTTATAGTGTGTAACCAAGTAGCTTGGTGTCTAATCCTATGTATATCTTGTTCTTCTCATGTGTTATTTATCAGATGCAACAAGAGGTATTTGCTACAGCATAGACTCCATCTTCTTGAGCTAATAACAAAAATCTAAGGCTAGTCTCTTATCTAATGCCACCTTGGCTAATGAGGTCAGAGATCTCTGTTGTGTTTCCATCCCATTAGCAACTTTGTCTGCTATTTGTCCCATAGTGATTGATAAATTTCTTAAAGATTTTTTTAATTCAGCTATACCGTAAGAGGGAATTAAAGCTCTTAGAAATGACCACCCCACCCTGAGTGTTGGACCAATGTGTTTTCTTCTGACTCTCATTTTACAATGTAACAATTTAAAATCACCTTTCTAATATTTACTAGCATCATTACTAATGAATATCTGAAGGTAATCCTAAAGTTCCCAGAGTGCATTGCCCACACATTCGCCACAAACCTAAATGAGATTGCCCACATAAACTCACTGTCAGTTGGAAAGGGATTATCTAAACTAGTGTAGTTAGATCCACTACACAAAAACATATATCCATAAGGAGAAGACAAAGTGTATCTAGAAGAAACAGAATGTATAGAAAAATTCATATGTAACAACCAAGTTTCCATTAGAGCATATATGATTAGCAAGATTATTAGAGGATAGACCCCTCTTGTTGGAGGTCTTCAGTTAATCTATTTAAAACATGCTAAGTGTTCTTCATGAGGGCAAGCTGCCCCTCCGTGGTCTACTTATTAACAGTTGTGGGTCACTTTCTCAGACACAGAAGTGGAGTCTAAGACAAAATGGAGTCTGAGCCAGACCTTGTGTCAGCCA